TTTTGGCCGCCAGGCCGCTGGGCCGCCAACTTCACGCCGCTAGGCCGCACAGGTCGCTGGGCCGCCAACTTCACGCCGCTTGGCCGTCAGGCCGCCAACTTCACGCCGCTAGGCCGCCAGGCCGCCAACTTCACGCCGCCAGGCCGCTAGGCCGCCAAGTTCACACATCTGGAAAAAACATGATTACAACAATGTAATGCTTTAAATATATTGAAATTGCTTTTGAAAGATTTTTCTCACAAGAACATATGTGAACAAAAAGAAATTTAACAAACATACCCATAATTTGCTTTTAAATTTATGGATTGTTGGTATATTCCACTTTCGCACTTTCGTTGCTGCCGATACACAAAAAATTCTCCGTTTCGCTTTTTAGTCATCCAGAGAATCATCACGTGACCCGTTGTTTTTATTCAGATTTGCAAACTGAAAAGGCGTTTAAACGCTTTTCCCATAAAATTGGAGAAAATATGTATTTCAAACGATTGCCAATCCAAAGAACACATATCACTGATTCTGTTTGAATAACCCTAACACGCAGGTAACAAAAAAATTATCGGTTCGTGAAATTTTACTTTTTTTTGTGACATTCGGCCGTACCTCAGTGGAGTACCTTTAATAAAGGAGCTAATGCGTTGTAGCAAGAGTTATGCAGTGCAAGGAACTAAGCTAGGGCGATGCATAGGGCTAAACTATCGCATGAATCATGTGCCAACAGCAATATGTATAAAGATTGATTTCACGCGTATTTTTGAAGTATGTACCCTACAATGACTATAGTGCCATTTAGCCGTTATTTTCTACTGTAACCATACAAACGCATCATCATTGACCTTCACGCACAAAGTCTGAACTTTGGTAAAAAGCAAAGGGTTGGACTTTAATGCCATTACGTATTTCCTGATAAATGTATATAGATGATGTATTGACACGTGGACGTTAAGTACACGGAAATTGTCACTTGCGATGAAAAGCTTGTTTTGTGTACACTAGTATTAATTGTTAATACATTCACATTTCTGTATAAAGTAGGCGAATACAAATTTGATTTAAAGTACAGCTGTCATTAGTAATGCGTATTATTCTTGTTCTGACAAACTGCTTTTTAAACCGTTATATTTATTTAAATAACTTCATCTGAATGTCTGAATATTTTCTACATATATGTATAGAAATTTTCTGGTAAATTTCTTTGAAAACTGGCACACATTACTAGTATTTTGTTATTTCTCGTTTAATCAAATATAAGGTAACGTCATATACAAGGTATGTCACATCCAAGGATATGACATAATTATGCAAGATATGGTATATTTTACAATAAGTTTCTGTGAACATTGGTTTTGTCTTTTTTGTTTCCTTTTTTTGTATAACGTGATATATTTAAGATAATATTTTCGGATGGTCAGTGCAAAATGCCCATTTTTTAATTTTTGGACAACCACAACATTGAATTTTAAATCTTTAACATATGATTGACATAAATGAAAAAAAAATATACAAAAAAGTTTACCATCATGTTTGATTGAGAAATATTGAGAATCAAAATTAAACTTTTGTTTCAGTTATATAGAACAACAGGACCAAATATATTTCCAAACCTGCTCAATTCATCTTGATCTCACTAGCGGTTATGCATTAGACATCTAATAATTTTACACATTTTAACTTCATCTTAGACACTGCTGCTTTAAACAAAATAGCAAACATACGAACATATAAAAATGAACGATCATTAAGTAGAGTTTATATTTTACAACAGAAAATCGTGCATCTTTGATAACTGAGTGCGTTAACACGCGTGCGCGTTGTATATTCGAGTAGGTTTTAATTCTTTGAATGTGTTTGTGTGAATGAGTAAGTACTTGATAGTGGGTGTATATACATACACTTCTACAAATAATCTTGTATTTTTGAGATTTGTGTAACATTCTGTTACAATGGAAGAAACATTCACTGATTATTCTCTTTTAAAAACAAGTCAGGAAGAAACTTGAACACATCTTCACCTGCCTTAAATTACAAACACCGGATATCAATGCAAAAATCGACTTCTATGTCGTATTGCTCAGTGTTTCTATTTTGCTAATTGGAAGCGGACTTCTCGTGTATCTACTGTCGAATAAGAATAACACTTGCCGATGTATTATTCCAGACGGATGTTTTATTAATGCGAGACTAAAATTCCTCGCTGAATCTTTTACCCGGAGCTACAATGCCACATTTGCAGACGACAAATTCTCGTGAACAGACGATAAATTCTCGTAAGCAGACGACAAATTCTCGTGAGCAGACGACAAATTCTCAGAATCTCACGTTGCCTACTTTCACGACGAATTTTCAAATATTACTTCTGCTTGTAACCCTACGCCCGAAGGAATCCAGTGCAATGTTGGAACAAGTTTTCGGCGACAACTTCGTCCTCCACTAAGCACAACAACAGAAATACTAGGTTTGAAAGCTTTTTGCGTTTAGCATTTTATTTATTTTTCAATTTTTTTATATTAATTAAAACAATTAATTAAACAACTAAGTTCAACAGGCCCTATAAGATTCTGCTGCAAAAAAGTATTAATAATTCCTGGCATCCGAACTTCAAATATTTTTGATTTTATTTAGCGGTAAAATCACTGTTTGGGATGTATAATTTCTAAACAAAGATTTTTCACAAGATAAATCAATGTACATGAGTTGATCTAAACGAAATCTTGCACTGGTACATGGTATTCGCAGATTTTTAACGCCTGGTTGGGATTTTCTATTTCATGTCTACATTATCATAATTAAACCAGAATATTTTGGTTTTTTTGAGTTCAGTTTAAGTTAAGTTCATTTTAACATCTACAAAAGAAAGTGTCGTCTGCATACATTTTATTCTTATAGATTGTCCTGACAACTGGATTTCATACGGACAGTCGTGTTATTTCATCAGTAACCAATCGGCAAGCTGGCTAGATGCGATGGTAAGTTAATTAGTGTGATCATTTTCAAGTAAGCCTCCAGATTCATGCTAATTTTCATGAAAAAATTAAGAATGTATTTAAAAAAAAAACAAGAATCTTTTTAAACGATACTCGGCCGAAGTAAATCTGTTTAACATGCAAAATTAGGTTGTCATTAATACAAAAAGAAATGCCAGCAACGTACGTATGCATAACATTGACATGATACTTATTACTTGTAGCTATTAGGAAAATACCCATTTTGTAAACATTGAAATTAAATTATATCATATTTATATTGATGATTTTTCAATGAGGAACAACTTCTTTTTAAGGTGTCGCTTTAACTTGTTATACATTTGACTTTTGTAATCATTTACAAATTAACCTAAAAATTAAATAAAACAAAAACAAACAAAAAACTATCCTCATTGCTGTATATTTTACTTTAGAACCATCCTCCACACTTTATTTTATAGTGGCAAAACTATCCGTTACATTTGATCATATTTAAGCTATCCTTAAAATGATATCTTAGAATGGTATAAGAACTATCCATCACATCTCATTTTAGAATGGTTAGAACTGTCCCTTACATTTTATAATAAACAATGAGATTCACCGATTTCTCTTTGTTATTTTAAAATGACCAATGATAATTCTTTTTATATTCAGTTCTTCCCTGTTGATTTTACAGACACCGATTTCGTCCGAAATATTTTGAGCTGTACAGAGAAAGTAATTCGAATATTGCAATCGGCACATACAATCCACGCAAATTACCAGAAAGGTCAAAATATACGAAAATAGCTCTTACTGCGTTACTAACGCAGTAGAAATATAGTGATAAATGCTGCAAAATATCTGTCTCTAATAAGACGTATGATGTAAACTATAACACGAATCTTGAATATTTTTACCTTTCTTAAAATACATGTAGTAGTACATTTTTATCATGTTTGATTTTCTTGAAATATTTTGGCTCTTCTCGAGGCATGCAGCTTAAATATATAATTATCAATTATTTTTATTATTACAATTATCATTATTATTATTATCATCATCATTATTATTATTATTATTTTATTATTATTATTATTATTATTATTATTATTATTATCTTTATCATTATTATTATTATTATTATTATTATTATTATTATTATTATTATTATTATTATTATTATTATTATCATTGTTATTATTATTATTATTATTATCATTATCATTATCATTATTATTATTATCATTATAATTATCATTATCATTTATCATTATCATTATTATTATTATTATTAGTAGTAGTAGTAGTATTAGTAGTATTATTATTGTTATTGTTATCATTTAACATTAATTATGAGTGGATCTGTGCAGGAGGAGGATGAAATAATTAAAGAGAAACTTAAACCTTTCAATAAATGGAAGGAAAAAATTAAAGGTATGTCTCCGTGTTCGTAAATGACTCTTGTAATTTGAATCTACTTGTTGTTGTTGTTGTTTTTTTTTGTTGTTGTTGTTCAGAAGATGCATTTAAACAAATCATTTATATTATTATTATTATTATCATTATTCATTTAGCATCATTACCACACTTTTACGACGGCGCGCTCATTACTGACGCTCATTCGGTCAAAACGACGTTAATCTCCAAAGCATTTTATAAATAGGATAGCGATAAAAGAAAGCAACAGGAAGCAAAAAAATATTCTTCTTATAAAATGGGTGAAAATTGTTCATCAAAAGCTTTACGAAAATGGACGAAGATAATCCGTCACCATCGCGGGGTACAATATACTAAGAAGCAGACTTACTACGTTAACAGGTCAAAAAAACTGACAAGGCGCCAGTTGACAAAGACATCTGGACCCAAAGAGTTAATTTAATCTTGTGAAGGACTCAAAGAGGAACACTGGAATCAAACAGGAATTTGTAATGTTTCTGCAACAGCCAACATGAGGTTAATTCATTTTTAATTTATTTTTCTTACATATTTTTTAAATAATAAATAAACCATTATAAAGGCAAGATATAATAATGCATGCAATTTTAAGTGGATACACAAACCAGCCTTGCGTTGGATTTTGGGGACTTAATTTAGCGTATAATGGTTGAAGTGTCCGCCTTGTAATCGAGAGGTCCAAGGGGTTCAAACCTCCTATCTCTGGAGGTACAACAGTGTATTGAGAAAACATACAAGACTGGGCCCAAAAACCGCTCATTTGTTGAATGGTGAAGTTTAAGTTTAATGGGTTTTTTTCAAAAGAAAATTAAATTAAATATGTCTTTTCAGATGGAAGATACCAAGCGATGGCATATTTGGACATTGACGAACACGGCGAACGGTGGAAATGTTCTGGGGTTTTTAAATTCAAAGCAAAACCGGGTTTGGGGAAGACAGATCAGTGCCCGGGGGTTGAAACAAACAGAATTTAAAAAAACAAGCTTTTTTTAAAAAAAGGAATTTTAAAGACAAAAAAATACTGGGAAAATGATATAAAAAAACGTTTAAGAAACAATTAATGGCATTTTTGGTTAAGGCTTCAACATCGTCGAAATAACATGTAACCATGTAGATATATATGTCTTTCCGCTGACTTTACTTTACAAATATAAATACATGTATACTCTATGTTTCCCTGTAGTTTATTTATGCAATTAAAAAAAATCTTCAAAACATTTTGTATATGAAATATTATAATCCGATCGATGATTATATGTACAAAAAATACATTTTAATAAAAGATAGATTGTGAAATAAAGTTTGATTTTGTTTTGATGTTAATTGTTCTTTCATTTAAAGAAATTGTTGTTGTTGTTTTCACGATAATTAAATTAAACAATGTCTTTCAAGCAGATTCGAATCTACATACTCATAGAACCAGTGATACGTGGATTACAAATCCGACACTGTACCTATTGAGCAAAGCAAGCACTTTAAAACAGTCAATATCCCACAGTGGCTACAACTACCAAAACCTTTCAACTGTCAGTAAAATGGGAGAAATACCTTTTATACTTTCAGTATAGCACCATCAAGAGCAAAACATGTAAACATGAGACCCCATTATCAAAAGTTTATTGATTTAAATAAAAACATCAAAGTAAATGTTACAGACGTTAAACAATATTGAAGTTGGCGATACTGAATAATAAAAAATAATAAGAATACCCGCTAAATAACCGCCATTTTTTGTTAACTTTACCAAATGTGCATTGACATTACGCAATATGTGAAGTATGCAAGTACTTGAAGTGACCACCAAGTTTTATCCCCATGCCCCCATGCCAAATAACAAGTGACCACCAAGTTTTATCCCCATGCCTAACAACAAGTGACCATCAAGTTTTATCCCCATGACCCCCATGCCAAATAACAAGTGACCACCAAGTTTTATCCCCATGCCCCCATGCCCCCATGCCAAATAACAAGTGACCACCAAGTTTTATCCCCATGCCCCACATGCCAAATAACAAGTGACTACCAAGTTTTATCCCCATGCCCCACATGCCAAATAACAAGTGACCACCAAGTTTAATCGCCATGCCTAATAACAAGTGACCACCAAGTTTTATCCCCATGCCCACATGCCAAATAACAAGTGACAACCAAGTTTTATCCCCATGCCCACATGCCAAATAACAAGTGACCACCAAGTTTTATCCCCATGCCCACATGCCAAATAACAAGTGACCACCAAGTTTTATCGCCATGCCTAATAACAAGTGACCACCAAGTTTTATCGCCATGCCAAATAACAAGTGACCACCAAGTTTTATCCCCATGCCCCACATGCCAAATAACAAGTGACCACCAAGTTTTATCCCCATGCCCACATGCCAAAAAACAAGTGACCACCAAGTTTTATCACCATGCCCCAATGCCAAATAACAAGTGACCACCAAGCTTTATCCCCATGCCAAATACTAGTAGCAAGTGACCACCAATTTTTTTCCCCATGTCCACATGCCAAATAACAAGTGACCACCAAGATTTATCCCCATGCCAAATAACAAGTGACCACCAAGTTTTATCGCCATGCCAAATAACAAGTGACCACCAAGTTTTATCCCCATGCCCCACATGCCAAATAACAAGTGACCACCAAGTTTTATCCCCATGCCCACATGCCAAATAACAAGTGACCACAAAGTTTTATCGCCATGCCCCCATGCCAAATAACAAGTGACCACTAAGTTTCAAACCCATGTCAAATAACAAGTGACCACCAAGTTTTATCCCCTTGCCCCCATGCCAAATAACAAGTGACCACTAAGTTTTATCCCATGCCCACATGCCAAATAACAAGTGACCACAAAGTTTTATCCACATGCCCCTTGCCAAATAACAAGTGACCACTAAGTTTTATCCCCATGCCAACATGCCAAATAACAAGTGACCACCAAGTTTTATCCCCATGCCAAATAACAAGTGACCACCAAGTTTTATCGCCATGCCAAATAACAAGTGACCACCAAGTTTTCTCCCCATGCCCCACATGCCAAATAACAAGTGACCACCAAGTTTTATCCCCATGCCCACATGCCAAATAACAAGTGACCACAAAGTTTTATCGCCATGCCCCCATGCCAAATAACAAGTGACCACTAAGTTTCAAACCCATGTCAAATAACAAGTGACCACCAAGTTTTATCCCCATGCCCCCATGCCAAATAACAAGTGACCACTAAGTTTTATCCCCATGCCCACTTGCCAAATAACAAGTAACCACAAAGTTTTATCCACATGACCCCTTGCCAAATAACAAGTGACCACTAAGTTTTATCCCCATGCCAACATGCCAAATAACAAGTGACCACCAAGTTTTATCCACATGCCCACATGCCAAATAACAAGTGACAACCAAGTTTTATCCCAATGCCCACATGCCAAATAACAAGTGACCACCAAGTTTTATCCCCATGCCCACATGGCAAATAACAAGTGACCACAAAGTTTTATCGCCATGCCCCCATGCAAAATAACAAATGACCACTAAGTTTCAAACCCATGTCAAATAACAA